GTATGTGGGACGCGGCCCCAGCATGGCCAGAGGAGCGGTGCGTCAGTGCGCACCCGGGATCCGAACCCGGGCCGCCGGCAGCACAGTGCGCGCACTTAACCGCCAAGCCACGGGGCCGGCCCATTTTATTTTATTTTAATGTTTGCCTTTTGTAAGCTGCCTCCTATCCTTTTTGGAATCAGGCAGGATATAAACTAATAAGAACCTCTCTGAGCTTTATTTTTTCCCATCTACATTAAGAGCATGAGTCAAATTCCTGGGAAGTGGTGATGATCAAATGCTGTCCTATGTGAAGTGCGGAGTATGTGCTCGGCTGACGTCAGTTCCTCCGCCTCCCTGCGAGCCAGATCCCACGTCCAGCCCCCACGTTCCCGCCCCGCTGCTCACCACTGAGAAGTGAAGACTGCGTAGACGCGGGCATCGGTGGAGGAATTGGCGGGCAGCAGGACGGCGTGGCGGATGACGTTGAAGGGCAGCTGCCCCGGCTGAGCGCAAAGCAGCTGGGCCTTCAGGAAGGTGGTCCACTTCCTCTGCAGCAGCTTTTCGCCTCCCACGTCATTCTAGGGGCGCGGGCGGAGTCAGGGGGCGCCCCCCACCACGCCCCGCATGTCTCCACCCCCTGCCCGCCTGTCTCCGCTCCCATTGGGCCCTAGGCACTCAGCCCTGCCTCTGCCGTCTCCCCATTGGCTCCTCCATGGCCAGCCGCGCCTCCCACCCAGGCTGCAGACCTTGCAGACTCTGGCCACCCGGGATGTGTGGAGCTTCTCGAAGAACTCAAACTCGCTGGCTGTCTCCTCGAAGAAGAAGTAGACAACCTGGGTCGAAGGGATGGCTGCCACGAAGGAGGCGTCCGCTGCAGGGGCGGGGCAGATAGGCTTAGGGACTGAGTGCCTGGATGTCCTGGGTTCCCGTTGGTGAAAACCCTCGGGTTGGCTCTGGAGGCCAGGAGACGTGATGCCTCGGATCCCACAGCCAGTTGAGGGATAGCCATGAGGGGCAGGTGGGGGAGGGGACCGACTGGTATTTATTTACGTAAGGTGATGGGAGTTTTGTTTCTTCCCTGCTGTACTCCCAGCGCCTAACAGTACTGCCTTGCATGTAGTATGCCCTCAACAAGTGAGAGTTGAGTCAATTAACAGCAGTTCACAGTGCCAGGTCTCTGGGATTCGGGGAAGGGGGCCACACCTGTGCTGGGTGGGCCTCAGGTCCTTACGTTCCAGCCAGCGGAGGAAATTGTCAGTCTTGAGGACAGGCTGGGATCCCAGTGTGCGGATCAGGATGGGCTCACTGCCCAGGAAGTTGTTCATGGTGCCAGAATAGAGCATCCCATCTAGGACAGGGCAGAGGTGGGGAGACCTTATCAGCTGGAGGATGCGCCTGCCCTCCTCAGACCTGCCTCTGACTGGGGCCAGGATTTGCATCAGTCTCTGGCCCCCTTTATTTGTGCTATGCCTTCCTGTGGAGCCCCAAAGCCCAGCTCACAGTCCCCTGCTGAGCACCCTTCTTAGGACCTTCTGCCCACAGGGAACAGCTAACCTTGTGGCCTTCTGTGTTTTGGCACTTTTCCAGCCTTTCTCTGGCTACTCCCTCACACACCCAGCTGAACCACTTGCCGAATAGAATCACTCATTGTTCCCGGAATGTGGCTCTGTTTTCTGCTTGCACACCTTGGGTCCTACCCTTCTCTTCCTGGAACACCTTCCCTGCCTGTCTACCTATCTTTTAAGGTCCCACTCAAAAGCCAAAGGCCACCTCCTCCAGGAAGCCAGAGTGGGAAGTCTGTAATGGTTTGTGTCCAGGAGGACACAGGGCCATGATTTCTTCTTTGTAACCCCTACGGTTCCTAGCATGATGTCTGTCGCACCAGAGGAGGTGTTCACACAGTGCATATTTGTTGAACAAATAGCTGAATCTCAGGCCTCTTCTCTGCCTGAGACCCTTCCTGGACCCTCCTGCCTCTGAGCATCCATCTCTCTCCACCTCCTTTGTGGAAGCTTCAGCAGGAGCTGGTGGTTGGGGTGCCTGATTCTCCCTCTGATCTCGTGCTCTGAGGCTCCTGGCTTCCCCTCCCTCTGTCCCCTGCCTTGCAGGAAACTGTGTTAGATTCCATATGTCACAGAGTGACCTGGGAAAGCAGATGTTGGGATGGACCAGGGAACCTGATACTCACCTGCCAAGACAGCTGTGTGCTTATGGGCGGGGTCGAAGGGGCTCTGGCCTTTCCCCTCCACAACCTTGTCCTCCGAGACGGGCAGCAGGTAGGAATCTTGGAGTTCCTAGAGGGGGGGAGAAGCTGGGGGACCAGAACGCCAGAGTCTCATGTCCGGGAAATGGGGGGCATGAGGGAGGAAGGGAAAGGGACATAGAGTGAAACTGGCCTGGGGCTGGGAAGCTCACAAGGGTCCTGCATCTGGAAGACCAGAGTTTTCCAGAGCTACAGAGGTTGGGCTGGGAGATGTGAGGAGGGATGTGTGGGGCTTGAGAGCTGGGTGCCAGATAACTCACAATGAAGGTACAAGCAGGGCTGAAGGCGAAGGTGCCACAGGCGTAGAGATGAGTGGCATTGAAAGAGACCAGGACACGAATAAAGTTGAAACACTGTGTCTGGGGGAGATAGGGAATTCAGGCCTCTTGCCCCAAACTCCTGGGCCCCCAGAGGCTGCCCCCTCAGTTCCTAGTGGGGAGAAGGGCTGGGCAGTCCCTGTACATCTTTATAGAACAGGATGCAGGCGATAATTATGCAAACAAGCATCCTCCGCTGCCTGCCCCACCTGAGGTCATCCAGTGAAGGGCTGGGGATGCCAGGGTTCCCTACCTAGAGCCCCTGTACCCCCACCTCCACTTACCTCACTGCTCTTCTTCTTAAAGGCACACTCACTCTTTTTTCTGTCACTGGCTGGCCAGGGTATCTGAAGTGGGGAATGGGAGGGGAGAGATGAAGGGAAATGAGGTCTTTAGCTCTAGCTGTGACCTGCCATCCCCTCCTTGGCTCTGGTGTGAAATCACCAGCAGGCACGGTGGTTAGTGACATGCTCATGGGCTATAATAACATCAATTTATGACCATAGCTATTACTCTGATGACACTGATATTCATTAGGACACAACTCCAAGGTAGAACATGGCCTATGGAATCAGACAGACCTGAGTTTGAATCTAGGCTCACCCACTTACTGGTTGAGTGATCTTGGTCAATGGCACAGGCTTCTGGAGGGCACAACTAGGTACATATGTAAAGCACCTAATGCAATGCATAGTATATAGAGCAACAGTTGTCAAACCACAAATTTCCTGGGGAAATTGTTAAAAATTTCAGTTCCCAGGTCAATGCCTCAGAGAATCTGCATTTTTAACTGGCATCCCATACGTGCAGGTGGTCCACAAACCACACTGAGAAACAGAAACCGTGGGGATGCTCAGTAATTGCTAGCTCCTTCCCTCCCTCTGTTTTTTCCTTCCTTCTCCCTTTCTCCCTCACGTTGTTCCCATTAGTAGGGTGACTATAGTTTAACACAGGAGCTTCAGTGATTTCTACCAATGGCTGGATATCACATTATTGATATAATGTGAGTCAGTGTTTCTCTCATATGTCAATGATTTCCATATCAGACATTTTAGCAATTAATATTATTCAACCAGTATTCATGATATCAACGAACAGTGAGGCCACTATAGTATTTCTTGTCTGTTATATGGATCAGATATATATAACAAGAATTGCTGATTATTGCTGATTATAGATAACAGTAATTGGGCAGTTATTCATGCATTGGCAGCTGCTGGCGCCCTCCTCACTCCCAGCCCACACCCTTTATCCCTGGCCTCCTCACCATGTTCTTCAGCCTTGGCACCCCTGGATCCTGGATATTCAAGGCCAGAATGGCCTCTCGAGCCCCCACATAGAGAGTGCCTCCATCACCACTCAAGAGCAGAGTGTCAAAATCCTGGAGGCCCTTCTGGTGGAAAAGGCTAAGAGCCCTGCGTCCGTCCCCTGTTGGGAGGTGGTGAGAAGGGGTGAGTGATGAGGAGTTGGTGGGCAGGCAGCTGATTTCTGAGATAAAAGTGGGGAAAGGAAAGGGTTGGTGGAGTGTGCTCCCTAGGCCTTGGCAGCTGGTCCCTCTGTTCATCAACAGCTCCCCCCTTCGCCCCACCCTGCTGGCAGCCATAGGACCTCTGTATGTTGAGGCCACAATAGAGAGGAGAGGCAGCCAGAGAAAGGGTAATGACAGCCTGGGGCTGGAGGAGGGTGGCCTGCACCCAAGAGACAGACAGAGGGACAGGAAATAAAGTGAGGCACAATGGATGCTCTTGCAGGGCTGGAGGGGCTGTAGAGGGGAGGACACGTTGGCCCTTACTGGCAGGAGGGGCAGAAGGCAGACAGATAGACAGGAAGGTGTTGGCAGCCACAGGCAGGAAAGCTAGACACAGCACTGTGTGTCAGAAGAGCTCTGGGTGTAGGGGTTCCACTTGCCAACCCCACTTCCTTCCCCTTCTCTACTGAGGAAATTTCCGCCCCTAAATCACTGCCATAGGGTGAACAGAAAGTAAACATTTTTCTTCAGAGGTCCCTGTGGGCATGCCTGGATGTCACCTGGGCAGGGGAGGTCAGCCTAGGAGGCTCACCTAGGTCTTCTCCATCACTTTGCTTCAGGGGTGGTGGTGGGGTGTGTGTTCGGTGCCACTGGCACATCAGCAACGGGGAAGGAGCTCCTCAAATCCTCTCTGCTGAGCACATGTGCACTTGTGCATTAGTTGGAGGACTGACTTGCTAATTGTTACCTTTGGAGGCTCAGAGAATCTTAGACAGGACCAAGAGGAGAAGTTGGGGAATCATGTGTGACAAGGTGCTGGAAGGGCCAGCCTCCCCCAGAACGTATAAACCCCTCAGTTACTGAACTGATCACCCTGTAGCATGATTGTCTGCTTGTTCATCTGCTTTCCCCTCAGAACTCTGAGCACCTTGAGGGCAGGGGCTGAGTCTTGTTTACGTTGGTAATCCCACCACCCAACACAGAGGAGGCCTCTCCATCATTAGGCACCATGTATTTCCTTCACCAGGTTGCCCCAGAAAGATGCTACAGGCACAGCCGTGTCCAGGAGACCCCACCCCTACAACTCCTATGGGGCCCATGTCCTTCCCTGAATCTTCTCCCTGGAGGTGAGAGGGCCAGCAGCTCCCACAGCCTCAGAAAGAAACCAGCCAAGCTGTGCCTATAGGGTCCCAGGGCCCACAGCCCAGCCAGGCCACCCTAACTTCTTGTATTCCTGGCGTCCACAGTACTGGATATGGCACAGTCCAGCATGATCTGTGTGGTTGGCATGGGCCTGGTGTGTTCTGGGTCACCAGGTCCACAGATGATCTTCTAGCATGGGCCTTAGCTTTGGAGGCATCTGGGAGTATCAAAGCAGTTAGGGGTTTGAGGTGCCCAGCTTGATGACAGTGACATTTAAGGAGGAAAAGAAAAATCACCAACTTTGGAGAACCAGAGGGAGCAGTGCCTCTGGCCCCGTCCTCAATCTTCGCCCCAGGTAGGTTTCATCGTTCACTCCTTTCTCGGTCTAAATTTCTATTTCTGGCTGACTTTCTCTCTGAGGCCCTCTATCTCTCCCTGGCATACCTCTCTCTCCTCCATGTCCGTTTTCCTCCCCCTCTCCCTTAGTTCCCCCTCTCTCCTTCCTCCACCCACCCCCCACCAGCTCAGTGTTGTCATCCCCGCACTTCCTGGCCATCAGACACTTACCTGCGTAGTATTTGACCCTGGGCATGGGCCCCTGTCCACCGCCCCCTGCGGTTGTCGGTGGCAGCAGCAGCAGGAGCAGTTGGAAGAGGAAAAGGCCCACGAGGCTCCAGGGGTCCAGGCCCAGGGCTGGAAGGGCCATGCTCAGCCAGAGGCTGTCGCCAGATAGCTCTGGGGAAACAGACACTGGGCACTCTCTGGGTGAGCAGTCCTTACCACATCCCCACCCCGGGGACCAATCGGAGAGTCCCGGCAGCAGAAGTGTATATGGGGGGAGGGTGCTGGGGGAGGAGGAGAGGGTGCTAGGGGAGGGAACGGTTCCCTCTCAAAGGGCCCTCAGAGAGTCTCACTTCCATCATCCTCACAGGCCTCAGCCTCCTGCCTCACTCTCCTCTCTGGGTAGGAGTCTAGATGTTCCATCCTGCCCTTCTGATCTCTTTTCACCAATAGCCCTGCTCTGCCTTTTCTCACCTGACTTTCAGGGAAGTCCTTCTTGCTATCTGCTCTTTGCCTTCCTTCTTCCCATATCCCAGAACCCAAACCATTGCCTGGCCCTGGGCAGGGGACTTCTGGGGAGCAGATTCCTGCACTCAAAATATGGACTTCTCAGACCTGACTCTCCTGGCACTTTGAGATCTGTTGCTACCCTGTGCCTCATCTCACCCCTGCCCTCTGATGACCTAAGCAGGCAGACCAGGTCTGAATCAACCTGCTCTGACCTTGCCCCCAGCCCCAGCTGGGCTCCCATCTTTGATATGCTCGGTCCTCCTTGGCCCTCTTCTTGGAGGCTATCTGCACCAGGCCATCAGCATTGCCCGGGAAGTGGCCCAGGGCAGGGGGTGGCTGGCAGTCTCCCAGACTCTGCAGCTGCCCCCTCTCTCTCTGGTCTCCGCGGTGCTGCTGTCTGTCTCCCTGGGTCTCTGCATAATCTTCTCCCGGGGCCGCCAACCCCCAGCCACTCATCTTATCTCACATACCCTTGAGCCAGCCACAGTGCAGAACCCAGGTGTCCGGACTCTGGGGCGCAGGTGCCATCCAAGAGAAAGAAGGAGGGGGGTTCCCAGGCCCCAGAGGCAGGGGACGGAAGGCTCAGCCCGGCTGGGCCGGGAGTGCGGCCCTCCAGGTACCCATAGTGCCAAAGCCAGCACTGGGAGCTCTGGGCAAGGGAAACCAGAATTTCCACCTCTCGAGTTGTGACAGATCCCTGGCTTGGGCGGAAGTTGGTGGATTGGGAGGGGAATAAAAAGAGACACACCTCTGTCTTTCCCTCTTTCCTTGCCTCCCTCTATCCACAAAGTTTAAAAGGCCAGAAAGTTTCTAGGTTATTTCAGCCATTCCGCTGTCCCTCTGTCATGTCACATCCAGTCTAACCAGCCTAGCAGTGGTTTCTCCTCTTGCTCAAGATTTCCCTAATGGGAGACTTGACACTCTCTTTCATATTCCTCTTTTCACTTACCCACAAGGTGGGTTCTCTGCACTCCTACCTGCTGGGAAATCCTTGCAGTTGTCTAACCTTCAAACCTCCCACTTCCAGCTGGGCCATAATCTTTAAAAAATAAAACAATTGCCTTAGGTTCTTTTCCATGGCTTTGCTGAGGAAGTCCCTCCTGTAGTCTAATCTCCATCATTCTTAGGGCAGCATCAGGCCAGTGGGAGGCCTAGAAAATTTCCCATCTGAGCTCATACTTCTGGAACATACTTCTGAGGCACCTAACCTCCCAATGGTGGCTGCTCGCCCCTCCCTGAAGGCCCCAGGGGGAACCTCATAATGTAGGGTTAATGAGGTATCTAGCACCAAGGGCTTCATGACCTATAAAGTGGGTAGTTTCCTGCCCACTCAGCCCGAGACCAGCTGACTGCTGGTTAAAGAGCACAGCCATCCTGGGGCTAATCCGACTCTAATAAATAACCCACCTCCTTCTTAAACACACATTCCTCATGGTCAGGAAGTCCTTCCTGTAGTGTAACTTCCATCCCTCTTGCCACAGCACCAGCCTACAGGGTGATGGTACAGCCCAGGCTACTCCTTAGAAGAATTTCTTGTCAGAACCTGCTCAGCCTTCTTTTCTTCTCCTTCTGCTCCCATTTTCCCTCACTTTCCCAGCGAGACCCTCCTGACAACTGTGTCTGTGAGGACTTGCCTAAGATTCCCCCAGACTCTCACAGAGGCTCCTTGCCAGGTGCTTGGGAGAAGTCATGGGCCAAGCCACCCAGAAAAAGTCATCTGGACTCTCAGAATCAGGGGAAACTCCTACCAGGACTCCACCTTCTCTGTCTCCCCAACCCCCAGCTCAGATTTGGGCACCACCCTGCCCAGACCTCTCTGCTTGAACAGATTGGCTTATCTGGTTCGCTGGGAGGAGTTCTGCTGGGGGGAGAGATGGGGGAGGAAGTTCCAGCCCCACCCTCCCTGCCTGTTGCCCTGTGCCCGCCTCTCTGGAAATGTTAGATTCAATGCCCAGCCCTCTCCAGAGACACAAGAATTCTCCTTCTGGCCCCAGGTCTCCTCTTCCCCAGCCCCTCCAGCCAAGATGAATAGTTTGCATTATTAGGCTTTGGTCTACCCAACAATTTTAGCAGATAGGTATCAGCATATTCCCATTTTACAGATAAGGAAGGTGAGGCTCAGGGAGGTTACACTGCTAGAAGCCAAGTTAAACTCAGATCTGTCTCATTCAAAAGCTAATCCCGGGGCGAGCCCTGTGGCTTAGCGGTTAAGTGTGCGTGCTCCGCTGCTGGCGCCCCGGGTTCGGATCCTGGGTGCGCACCGACGCACCGCTTCTCGGGCCATGCTGAGGCCGAGTCCCACATACAGCAACTAGAAGGATGTGCAACTACGACATACAACTATCTACTGGGGCTTTGGGGAAAAATAAATAAATAAATAAAATTATACAAAAGCTAATCCCTTAGCTACGCTGCCTCCCTAGAGTTCTGCTCCTGCAGTCTTCCCTCCTACCCCAGTCCAGGAAACTCAGCTCTGAGCTACTTGAATGGAGAAGGCACGTGTGGAGGGTGGGGGGTGGCACGCTCTAGCTCCTCTGGGCAAAGAAACAGTATCTCTGGGGTGATTCCTGTCTCAAGAGGGAACAGAAACCTCTTGGAAGAAAGGCCATCAGGTACAGGTGCCACCCTTATGTCCACAAGGGCCTCCTGATTAAAGTCCATGGAGCCTGATGGGGAAGAAGGTCACCCTGCCGCCTTCTGCTGCCCCTCTTGCACCAGAGCCTCTGGAGTCACATCCAAAGTCACACTGCCATCTCCCTTCCTGCAGCTGGCAGAGCCCACAGCCAGGGCTGGCTTCGTGGGCGCATGACCTGAGCAGTCACACAGGGCCCCACGCTCAGCAGGGCCCATGCTTGGTCTAATGCTCTGCTGCTGCCGTCTTGAAAGTCTTGGTCCTTTTTGATCAAGGGGCCCCACGTTTTCATTTTGCACTGGGCCCCACAAATGATGTAGCAGGTGCAAATGATGAAGCAGGTCCTGCCCACAGCATCCAGGAAGCTCAGAGCTGGCAGGGCTCCACTCCCTCCCTCACTGTACAAATGAGGAGACCAAGGCCAGGGAGGGAAAGCGTCTGGGCTGGGGTTGGAGTCGGGCAGCAGGTCAGGTGGGGTGGCTGTGTGAAGGAGTCAGATGTTTAGGGACCAGGCCCTAGGGGCTGTGCCATTTCATAGCCCCAGTGTAGGGGTTCTCCAACTCCTTTCTCCTCAAGCCCCGGAGCCCAGCCTGGGGACTCCCCATGAAAACTATGCTGAGTTCAAACTTGCCCCCCTGCCCCAGGGTCCAGCTCCTTCGGAGACTCTGCCCCCGTGGCCCCTAGACCGCACCAAACAGTAGCCCCTTCCTGCCAGGCTCACTGGCACAGGGTAAAGATCCAGATGTGGGGGTGGAGCTGGGAGGGAAGATGGAGATGTCGCTCCCCATCCCTACCCCATGCTCACCCCGGGGGTTCTGTCTCTTCTGCACCCCTAGGGAGCATGGATACCTCACTGGCTTCGCCAGTGCCCAGCAGGTCCAGTTTCCCCTACCCCCTTTCCCTTCCAGCCTCAGGGGCAGCCCCAGAAGAGCACAGTCCCGGGGAACACCCGCTTCCTGGCTCCCCTTCCTTAGCCCCACCTCCCTGCCCCTCACTCCCGTCTGTTTATGATCACAAGCAAATCAAATCAACTTAGATTTATTAAGTGCCTACTGTGTATAAGGCACTAGCGATGTCCCCAAGCCTCTACTCCTCCAGCATCCTCTCACCTCTTCCCACCCTCACTGCCTCCCAGCCTTCTTGCCACCCGCCCAGCCCAAATCCCCCTACTCCTTACCCAGTGCCTCCTAGGTTTCCTCCTCCAGTCTGACTAGTGCTGGAAGGCTGAGCTGAGTATTGCACACAATGGCCCGACCCCCTCTGTCTGCCCCCTCCTCAGGGCCGAGCCAGCGCCAGACAATGGCCCGCCCTCTCTTTTCAGAACTGTCAGCTCTCCCGCTCCCTCACCTGGAGCTTGGGGATGCCGCAGCGTTTCCCGCCCCCTGGAATGCCAGGCGTTCTGTCTCCCAGCGCCTTGGTCCCTGCCACACCCCCGCCCCCCATCCCCAACCCCATCCCGCCTCACTGGTCCTCAGTCACCATGGCGACCGCCTCTCTAAGTGGGAGGGACTAGAATCTCCCCATATTCTTACTCCTCCTACCCGTGTCCCCCTGTGCCCCACCTTCTGTGGCTCCTGGATCCACATGTGTGGAGGAGGCGCGGCTCCAGATGTGGAGGGAGGTGGGGAGGGCGCACACTAGCCCCCAGGGTCCTCGCTCAGCTCCCTTGCCCACCGTCAGGCAGGCACCACAGCGTGGATGTCCCCCAGCTAGGTTCAAGGGCAGCTGGGGCCAATTCCCCTTTATGGTCAATTTCTCTGGGTCTCCCTCTCCCCTGGGAACTGTGTATATGTAGGGGGATCACATCTAGACACCAGCCAGCCTGACCCCATGCAAACTGAGTTTTTCAATAAGGATGTAAATGAACATACAAATATCTATGCAAATAAGCCTACAGGCAAGGTCTCTTCTCTGTCAAGAAGCCTGAGAAGCTCTCTTCTGTTAATATTACCCTGACTTCCATGGGAAGAGGTCCACTGTCACGTTCAGGTTCTTCCATTTCTTCCTAAACCAGCTTACCAAGAAGATGTCTGCTCCAGAAGCCTTCTTTTGCTAACCCCCTGAGACCCGTTAGAAGAGAAAGGTTTGTGCTGTAAGAGGAGGATGGAGAGAAGACTTCAGGAAGGACTTGCCAAAAATCTAGACTAGATAGGGATGAAAAAAGAGACAAGCCTGAGCTGGATTCTTTCCCATCTGTGGGGGAGCAGAGGCAAGCAGGGGTCTGGGTGTTAGCTTTGGGAGCTGGCCCTTGTGTCCTCTCCCAGCCCTGATCCTGAGCAACCCTATTTACCAGAGCTCCCTCCAGCCCCTGCTGGGCTTCAGTTTCTTCATTGGTAAAATGGAAGAGTTGAAAAAGCCTCTTCCAGGTTGGCTTCTCTCAGCTTGTGGGAAGACTGTGAAAAAGTCAGCATGGGGCCAGGGAGCAAGAGCCCTGGGTCCTAGGCCTGGCTGCCTGAAACTTGCTGTGTGACCCTGGGCCGGGCACTTGCCCTCTCTGATTCACATAGGTAAAATAATGGCTTTCCAGCCTACCTGGGAGCAGCTTGGCTCATCTCTTGATTTAATAGTATTTTTAAGAAGAAAGAAGTGAGTGTGCTGGTGCCGGCCCTGGGCAGAGGGTTTCATAGGACAAGTCTGGTTCCCTTTTAGATCTGGGTTGGGGTGGTGAGTGAGCATTCCTGTCTGAGTGGTGCAAGGAGATCTGGCATGTGCTGAAAGCAGAAGTGGACTCTGAGCAGGGCTGCTATCACATCCCCCACCACTTCCTGACACTCCATCCTCGCTGCCGTCGGCACCTAGGCCTTGGGGACTCAGAGATGCCTACTTGCTCAGGCGCTTCCCCCCAGCACTGGGACACCTGGTAGGAGGGGAAGAAATGATTTGGGATCAAGGTGGCAGGGACTAGAGGAAACTGAACTAGTGCTGTGACAGGAAAGAAGCAGGCCGGGCTGCAGGGAGACTTCACCCCCAGGGGTTGTCCCCAGGGTCCTGCCCCCATCTCCTTCCCTTTTAGGGGAATTGGGCCCAGTCTCTGTGGCAGAATTGGAAGGGGATCCATT